CTGGTGATACGTGGTTTGGTGGCTCAACTCTCAGCAGCTAAGGAAAAGTCCGTCATTGGAACCTACCAGATGCTCTATGGGAGAAAGAGGTGGCAGTCTGCTTCCTTGAAGCTTTACGGCCTTGGAATCCCTCTGGGGGAGTTGTGCTCCATCCTATGGGGTTGCTATGAGTCGGAATTGGCAACAGTGGGAACCATGAAAGGCTTGGCAGTCAGGATGGTCAATCCATCACAATACGGAAGGCAACCTCTCAGGGCCATGTAAACGAGGTGAAGAGCTCTCTCCGGAGGTCACAGCAAGCATTCTCTAGCCCTGTGTGTTCTCTACCTAAGGTCATTTCACTTCTAATGATTCACCTTAGTCCTCAGGATTCTGGTAAGCAAATAAAATGTTAGGCAGACGGTACCAAATTAAACTGCTTGCCTTAAATACACAGAGGAAATCCTTTCTGGATGACCACATCTTGAGGTAAGAACAGTAAAACAGAGTCCAGAGCTCTGCGTGGCTTATTTATTGGGGAAATCCCTACTAGCTAACAGAGCAATTTAGGTAGCTGAAATATTTCCATTTAGTTCAATAATCTTCAAGAAGGGCACCTCAAAACAAATGTATCCCAAAATTTTAGCATATTTTGCACTTAGAAATTCAATGACTTCAAATAAAACAGCTGGATATTTTGGCCTCCTCCACTGGGCTGTTTATGAACTATATCCCCTGCCCTTTCCACAGATTTTGATATTATTTTTAAAACTGTGAACAAAAATTAGTGGCCGTCTGTCTATAGAGTTATCCTCTTTCCTCACAACAATGGTGGGTATTTTGAAAATGACTGATCTAGATGCAGCTCAATTTAAGGCAGAGATTTCTAGATGAGATGCTGATTCTGAACAGGAATCAAGTCTCTGAGTTTTCTATTCATAATACCATACCCTTCTCCTTGTAACAAGCATCAATTCTTATTGGTAAGGTATTCAATAGTAATTTATCACGGTGGCAAGTACATGCCATCGGAAAACTCGCAGACACAGACAATACCTGGAAAGTCACTGCCTACTATAATTGAATAGCCAATGCAAATTCTTCTCTCAAGTTGATTCAATCATGCATGCATTCTGCAAGTACTTATGAGGTGGCTACTCTGTGCTGGCCATTTTGCTAAGTACTGAAAGTAGAATTGTCAACAAGATACATGTGGTTCCTATCTTCATGGGATTTACAATCCAGTGGGAAGAAGGAGTACTGAGAAGTTAAAAAGAAATCCCAAAACTTTGAAACAAAAGTTATCATGAAGGGAACGTTATAGTGTACTTTTAGGACCACAAAAGAGGGGCAATTAACTGTGTGTGTGTGTGTGTGTGTGTGTGAAGTGTGTGGTGGTCACCAGAAGCTCCCAGGACTGAATCATGGTTGATATTTAAGGTACCAGCTTCTAGCTCACATAGATGGTCGAGTCATACGGGGTTGGAAAGAGAAAGGACCACCGTGTACCAATGCCTCAAGGTGAAAAGGAGCATACCATTCGTTCTGTGGTCCACTGATCAACTTTCCTCCATACTTTCCTTTTCTGTAAAAGAAAGCAGGTTCGGGGCCAAACATTTGGGCAAGGCTGTGTCTGGAGTTGCTGAAAGCTAGCGCACGTAGAAGCTGTTTTCCCCATCTATAATGATTAAGCTGTTTGGATGTGTCATTTATTGCCCTCCCACTCAAAATGTGACTAACTCGCCGACAGGGGGCAGAGATCCCTGAGCTTCCCAGAACCCAGCATCGTGCTCTGTCTACACAGGGAGCTTAAGAAATGCTCGTGCTGAACACACAGACAAATAGAAAAGGAAGGCCGGCTGCCAGGCTGGAACACCCAGAATTTTTGAGGGTGGAGCAATGTTTACCCAACATACTGGTTTCTCGCCAACATTAAGATTTTGACTTCCAAAGCTTTGTCTAAAAGACCCTCATTAAATAATCCTTTGGCAATCTCACTAGTCTCCATTTTTCTGATTTGGTTGATGAAGAGAGCCGAACTCAGAAGTTTCAAGCCCCTGAAAGTCTAGTTAAGTTCATTCCATTGGTTAAAGTCTAGTTAACCATTCCATCGGTTCCCACACCAGTCGCACCTTACACCCTGACTGAGCTAAGCAAAAGAGCAGGGCATAGCCAAGGCAACCCGTGTTACAGGTGAGACACTGCTAGGGACTGTTGGCAGGAAACAAATTAGAAGTATTTCCTGCCCTGAAGGCAGACGCAACACACAGTAGTTGCTCAGCAAATATTCATTGAAAAGCAGAATGAGCACAGTCTAGGGGGGAGGTCACATATCTAAACATAGCACCTATTATCCATTGCTACAGTTTTGTTTTCATAAGTGGGGCAGCCTCCTAGGCTATGAAAATGGTAGTATTCTATCAACTCGGTAAAGGGCTTCTGATGACACGAATGGTTACACTCTTGACTACAAGGTGACAGGTTGGCAAATCCCAGCTCCCAGGGTTCCTCAAAGCACAGGCCTGGCAATGTGCTTCTGAAACTTCACAAGCTTGAGGATCCCGGGAAGGAATCCCTCTGCATGTCTAAGGGTGCTCTGGAGTCAGGCAGTAGTTCTCACCCACCAGCTGATCTGAGAATCTGTTCCCAGAAAGCCTCAGAAACCCACAGGAGCAGCTCCTCACTGCCCTATGAGATCACTGTGAGTTGGAATCTACTCAATAGCAATGAATTTGAGATTTGAGATGAATAGGAATCTACTCTACAGCAACTAACAACAAAATTAATTCTAGGCAGGCTCTTCTGGGAACTGTATTCTGGACAATTGTATTAGTGTTTTCTAAAACCCGCAAACTCATACGCATATATAAACATTCTCATAAGAAGGTCTCTCCTCTCTGCCAGGGCCAGTCTCATATTTCAGGGAGTTGAGTTCTTTTCACCAACCCCAGCAGCATTGATCAGGAGCATTGTCTTTTGAATTCCCTATGTCATGAACAAGCAGGGCACTTTGTTTGGACTATTTCAACATGTTTTGTGGCCAGATCATCACTATGTTGTGGGGAATCTTTATCCATCCCAAGTGTGGTAGTTATATAATCATTTGTCAATTTGAGAGGATTTAGAGTGAAGGGGTAGAGTCTAGCCTGTCAATCAGGTCATAGCCAGTGAGGCCTTTGTGTGGACAAGGCCTTCTCCTGAGGATTATGGGAATTCCTGTATTCCTCCTTGGAGGCAAGAGACACACACACTCTATCTGCTCACTTCTTGGGAGACATTGCCGCTGACAAGACACATGGAACTACACTAGTGCGCTGAGCCGGAGGAGCCAGGTGAGGACCCCTGCCAGTGCTGAGATGCTTACAAAGCCACTGGATCCACAACACTTCCCTCCCACTGGCCTGTGATCTTCCTACATTCAGTGTCATTGTATGTGTTTCATGAGTGTGAAGAGGACTTTATAGATTGGTATCAGACATGTGGGCTAATATCAGACTTATGACTTGATCTGGACTGAGCTGGGATGTTTTCTTAATGTACAATTTCTCTTTATATAAAGCTCTTTCTTATATACATATGAGTGTCTCTGGTTTTGGTTCTCTAGTCTACCCAGACTAACACAAGTAATGTGGATCACTGAGTGTGTCCAGGACAATGAAGAGTGTCCTGAAATCCTTCCATGAAAGCTAATCTTCCCAAGTGATAAGGAAGCACGACCAGGGGATCAAGCTCACGGTCGTGAAGTCTGATTCATAGTGACCCCATTACACAGGGTAGAACTGCCCCTGTGGGTTTCAGATAGCGTGACTCTTTACAGGAGTAAAAAGCCTCATCCTTGGAGAATGCTTTGTTGTGCATTTTTTCCAAAATTGAAAACAAAAATAATGCAAATAACAATGAGTATGGGGAGAAAGAAAATGTTCTAAAATCGATTTTGGTAAAGGCTGCATAACTCTTCTTGATCTATGGTTGACCTACTGAATTGAGTATGTGGATGAAGTGCCTATAAAACTATTTTTTTAAAGCCTCATTTTTGTCTTTTGGAGTGCATGGTGGTCTCAAATTGCTGACCTTACAGTAACCATTATGCCACCACGGCCAGGTATATGGTGAGCCAAATGGCAGCACAGTGCCAGACTCAAGATGCAATTATTATTACTGTTTGAACATCTCTTAGGTTCCTGGGAGGCACAAACAGTGTACTCTCCTCCACTAACTGAACGGTCAGTGATTCAAACACGCTCAGCGCCAGCTCAGAAAAAAGACTCAGAGATCTGTTTCTCTAAGATTATTACAGCCAACCAAACCCTGTAGAACTCAGTTCTACCCTGGAACACGTGTTCACCATGCATCAGAGTTGACTCAAAGGCAATAGAGTTTGGCTTTGTGGTTTTGTACATTTCACAGGAGTTGGGGAAGGGAAGGAAACAATTAGCAGCAATATCCCACAATCAAGTTTCACTGAAACAAAAAATGTTCTCCTTCAAACTCCAATGTCCTTCATTCTCTGCTGCTTACGCCAACCAAACTGACTGGGAATTTTATTTTAGATAAAATTGTCCATCAGTAACTCACCTACTGAGCCCGTTATATGTGCCCTAGGACTCATTCAGCTTTCCTGTCTCTAATTAAGTGTTTTAAGTGCAAAGTGGTCATGTAATAATAAGGTGTCTACAACACACAAGGACATGAAATAAAGGACAGAAATCAAAAAGCCCATTACAGTGGTTACTGGTGACTTTCCTAAAAATAAGACTCTGGAGCTTGTTTCTCAAGATATGTTGGAGTTTACTAGGCAAGTAAAGAAGTGGGAAGAGCAAGAGTTAAGAGACAGGACTCTAGGGAGAGGAAATATAGCACCCATCAGAACTTACTGATGGGCCAGGCACTGCTGTGTTTATAAGGTATTGAACACTGTTCTAAGTCCTTTACCTTCATTAATTTTTTAAAAATAAATCATTTTATTGGGGGCTCTTACAGATCTTATAACAATCCATACATCAGTTGTATCAAGCACATTTATACATATATTTCCATCATCATTTTGCGTGTCATCCTTGCGCAGGGGCCATGCTAATCTTCTCTGTATCGTTCCAATTTTAGTATATGTGCTGCCAAAGCGAGCACTATTTCCATCATCATTTTCAAAACATTTTCTTTCTATTTGAGCCCTTGGTATAAGCTCCTCATTTTCCCCTCCCTCCCCACCCTCCCACCCTTTGAACCCTTGATAAATTATAAATCATTATTGTTTTCTTATCTTAACAATCCACTGTCTCCCTTTACCCATGCTTCTGTTGTTCATCTCACTCTTGGGAAGAGGAGGAGGGATTATACCTAGATCCTTTCAATTGGTCCCCTTTTCTCTCCCTACTCCCCAACCTTCCCCCTACACTCTTGGTTTCGCTACTCCCATTGCTGTTCTTAAGGGGTTTACCTATCCTGAATTCTGTGTATCATGAAATTTATCTGTACTAGTGTACATGCCCTGGTCTAGCCGGGTTTGTAAGGT